GTGCAGCAGCGGCGGCACAGGGGCTGCTGAGCTTGCTGCCGAGGAAGTTGGGGAGGTCGAGTTGCTCGCCACGCTGCGCCGCCGCCAACATCACCTTCTTGAGGTCATCAATGTACAGCCCAAACAGAGTGAAACTAAGGGGTCAGCAGGGGGAGGACAAGTGCAGCGCCTCAGTTGGCGCTGATGGCGTACTAGAATGACACAATCGGGATGTGTGGCCACAGGATGCGATCAGAGTATGGTGGCTGCGCCATAACTGCTGCCCGTGCGACGCTCCAACGACAAGGGCAGAGTGTAATAGACAGAGGACGTGCAGGGCAGAGGACATGCGGGACACGGGCACACAAGCGGATCCCGTGCACAACACCAGGGGTGCTGAGTTCTGCTGCCGCACATGGGACCGAGGACAGGTGACGAAGCCCAGGCCACCTTTGCTGGCAGAATAGTCGTCGAAGCTATGCGGGGGTTGGAGCGGCGCAGCCGCTTCTCCAGCCACAGCCTGCAGCACCGCAGGCAGCACCAGGTCGCCTCCACAGCCACCCAGGCCTGCCACACGAAAAGCATTTGCCATCGCCTCGGATCACCACATGTGACAGATGCCTCCGAAAGCCACCCCCACGCCCTCAGCCCCCAATGCACCCACCCATTCTATGTAGACATTTGGGTATGCATCCAGCTGGCCATCTCGTATTCCCGCAAGCCACTCAGAGGGCTTGTGGCTGCCGAGCTGACAGCACCGCCAGGCGGTGGCGGGTGCGCAGGCGGCAGGTGGCGCCGCGCTCCGACCGCTCTCCGCCTGAATGGGCGTTCTCGGCATCCCCCAGCTTGTCTGTGGGCACCACGGGCGCCCCAGGGCTGCGCTTGATCAGGCCGGCAGATGCGACGGATCAATTGATGGCTGCAGCCGGCGCGCATTCCAACATATGCACACAGATCCGAACTGCAGAATTGAACCGGACCTGCAGTGGGCTGCCAGTGGCAGTGCCAGTGTGCATGGGCGGGCCACGCGTAGCACCCTGCTGCACGTCAGCGCCCTGTGCGAGCCTCAATCTACTTGTTCCGTGTGGAGAACCGGCCATAACCCTGCTGCTGGGCCGCCGAGACGTAGCGGGGCTCACCACCCACTGACCGCCCCGCTATGGGCGGGAGTTCGCCCTGGACGTCGGCAGACGACCAGCAATTCCCGGTTCAAGGTGGTTCCGGCGACGGTGCGGGCGGCGGCGGTGATGGGCGGCGGACTCAATGGGCGGGTGCCACCGCCACTGGCGGGCAGCACTGCGCCCACGCTGACACCTGCCAGCGGCAAGAGATGAAGGCCAAGGGTGGTAACGGCGGCAAATTTGCTCCACGGGCGGCAGTCAGGCGAGGGACGAGGAAGGATCTGATGCA